GTCGCCGAGCTAGTACTCATAACGTCTTTAAAGTTATTTATCATATTCCTTCTAATATTATCCATGCTCCGCGGGTTCTTTTTACATACGACAGAAGCTACTGGAATTCTCCTGGATAAGCCAAGTTTGTGTGATCAGAAGAGAATCGTATAGCTTCTCTTTTTACTTTAGCTTATCTATAAAAAACGCCATCCTTCCATTTATTCATCCCACTAACGGTGGCAATTATTATCATTATTATTACAGATTAAACCATCTTATTCCTCCCCCTCTAATTGTTGTCAACACTTCACCACTTGTCATAATAATTCATTTTCCCTTCTCTTCGTACGAATTGCTACTGTACAAACTATCAGTTACGCAATAAGCTGTTTAAAATTTCACAAATCTTACTATGTAGTTTAGCTACAATTTTAATTACATTGGTTAATTATTGCCCCCTTGATACTTTGAAATTATGAAATGGTGGAGAATATTTGTAGATCAGGTGGATGGTCTTGGTTGTATTGTGTTCTCTGAGCTGGATTGTTTAATCGTGGAGCCATCTACAGAAATCAAAAAACGCATCATCCTACCGTAAATAAAGAGCATATCAGAAATCACTACAAAATCACTGAGACCACTTGGAATCGGTGTGACTCATAGACCAAACTTCCAGACCCTATTATGCAGACCAAAGGATGCAACAACCAAAGAAGATAAACCAAATATCATTTACAAAACCAAATGAGATAATTGTGATCAACACTACATTGGATAAAGTGGTCGCCCTATTCGCCTTCGTCTACGTGAAGACCAATTGGCTATTAAATGTCACAGACGACATTTCATTACTCGTTTCAATGCAGGTGGATAAGAACTATGGACATGAATTGAATTTCGACAATGTAGAAATTTCGGAGAGAGAGAGAGGGAAGACAAAGAATATCAGAGAGATCCTAAAAGCTTGGCATTAAAGTTAGTCAGTCAGCAACCAATAGATGTGCAGACAGACCCAATCTGAAACAATTAGTCCCTTTTATGAATTTGGATAATGTAATTAGAAGACGTAGATTATCTGAAAAATGTGATGTATTAGCGATATACATTTCGAACAATCTGATCACACATAGTTCCAATCTATCAACCAATAAGAAAAATGATAAACGACAGAAAGGTCAGAGGTGAAGCAGAGGAACAGCCAACAGGAAAGTCTATACAATCAATGACACAACAATCGAACGAAACAACCAATCACAGACCAGTATCGTCAGAGCAAGCTACTAAATCACTCACTAAGGGAGAGATATTGACAGCTCACTTCATACTGAAGTTAGTGCTGACGGTGTCGTCTAGAAAGACGATGAAAGCTCAACGACTAAACAACTTAGCTCAGAGAACACAATACAACCAAGACTTTGAGAATGACCAGCCGTCATGAAACAATTATCACCACTAAACTGGAATCCAATTTCACAATCGATGGGGGAATCAATTGAAAAGAAATATTTCTTCGCTGACATCGTTCTTTTTCTAAATCATTCTGTTTGCTTTGGAATTGAGATACAAAGCACTAGAAATGGCTGTCGTAAAAGAAGAAGACGAATATCTGGGATTGAAAGCTGTGTGCTTCGTTTAACTCTCAGTGGAGAATAACATAAGTTACTGAGTTGCAGGTGCATCCAACTGATAAATTTCACATAGAATGAAAAGTGTATCAAGGAGTTTATTGCTGGTCAAAACAAAGTAAATGAACTGAATAAATAATACACTTTTATCATTTGTATGATGCAAATTCAGAGTTTTATGCTAATTATCTGATATGTTATATGAATAATCAGATAAAAATACCGAACTGACCGGTTCATTTCTGGCAGAAATGATCATCTACTTTTATTCTTTTGTATTGGAAACTGACACTCATTAGATTGTGTTCAATCTACAGTGATCTAAATTAGCCTTATATGTATAAACAGAAAAATGCAGAAATGTTTTCTTGGTTGGACGTTTGAGTTACATATGTATCATCCAAATAGAATAATATGATACTTTGAGACCAGTACCTTAAAAACTTACATGTAAATAAAGGTAGTAATGAGAAGTAACCTGGTCTTTTCGCGTGTGTTTCGAGCAGTCTTGCTTATTCTGTAAACTTGGAATATATCAAAGTTTCAACAGAAAATATTATTTTTCTGATTTTTTGAGCTTAAAATTAAACTACGAAAGTTTGGCTATGTTAGCTTCATCAAATCACTGAACAGTTATAAACGCATTATAACTATGCGATCAAGGTGTCTAACAAAGTAAGTCGGTAGCGAAATTGTTCTGTCTAGACGGTGGGAATCAACTAGTTATAGATTTAAACTATTAGATTCATTTTGCTATAAGGGAAGCTTAAGTTCTACAGAAATTTTTATTGATATTACTTGCAGTATTGCATTACATCATATTATTATGTGACAAATATTCAGTGTATACCAAAGTAATGAAATAAAAGCTATACCCGTAGCACAAGAAGTGACTGTCTTAAGTCAATGATCTAGTGGATTACTCTCTGGCTCTGAAGCAATCAGTCCGGGGTTCGAATCGTAGTGGGAGCAACATCGCTTGTTGAGAAGGAGGTACACCAAACTAACAAGTCCTAAGTAGGACGAAACACGCATGCTGAATTCCAGTGCTAGACACTATCCATTACTAATATAAAATATTCTTTTATTTTAGTTGATTATTCGTAATTTATGCCAGCTGTAGGTATATGGATGATAGTTGACAACAAGTGAAAGTTTATTTTCCTCAGAAAATTAATTTAATATTGTTTTACCCCTTTCTGTCAGTGCAAACTCGTATGTGTAGACAGAAGTTAACTTTTGACAACAAATGGTGGTAAACTCCATAGTTAATAATGACGTCAGTGTGGAATGAGTTATTCACCGATAACTCTAAGATGCTGCTAAATTTTAACTCATAATAGAGAGAGGGATCCATTTTGAATACTTTGATATACACCTGACAGATATCTGCTTTAGTTGACACTTATACACAAACTTAAGTTTTAGGTTCTTTTTGAGGCTTACTCTTAGCAAATTAGTCTTCATGCACATCAGATACATTTATTAGAAACCATAGCAGTTCCTCTGTGTGCTAACACCGGGGTAGAGTTATGTTTTTCAGTGGTTCTCAAATTCTTAATTACTCTCTCTTATAGACAAGGCTTCTGTGCTTATAATGGTATAGTTGTACAAGGTTATAAAGTTGACCCACTTCTGATAGGTCCCTAAATTGACCAAGGAAGTATGAAGTGATATTCTCTCACACAACTTATCTATAATCCACATACCAGAAGGTTAATTTCACAAAAACGTTTACATGAAAAGTATATTTAGTTGATTTCTCTTGCTGATTGTGTTCATGATAGATGGTGGGAGGTAATCCGTGAGAAGTCTCTCATGACCTAGGTTTCGTTCTTGTTAGCACTCTTTAGCAAGATATATATGCCACCTCAAAGGAACTAGCGTCTCACCAGAGATATGAACCCACATCATCCAGTTTTGTAGTCAACGTCGTTACTCCTGAGCTATTTGGGTGTTGGTGAAGTACATTGATTAGTCACTAAATAGCAACCAATTTTATGTTGTCTAGTCCTGAGTGCTAACGGAATTCTAACAATCATTTTATAATTTGGCCACTAAGCTAGAAGGCTCACTATCGCAGTACACTTTGATGAATACTCAGGGCCTTCTACCGATTGCCTCCAACCAACTAACATCCATCAAAGTGGACCATAATGATGAGCCTGTTGGATTGGTGGGCAGATTACAAAAATGATCGATATGATTCAATCAGTACTCAAGACTACACAACATGAAATAGTCTGTTTTGATAAGTGACTTTAAAGGTCACCCTAACAAATGCTGAGATAACCAATCAAGTTTCTTTATTTTATGAGCAGCCACCTTTCCAGACAGAATGGTGAGACTTGATTGGTCATTTCAGCAGTTGGTAGCGTGACCTTGAAGGCCACTCATTTTGATATTCGTTAGTCAGCCATTAGCGTCATTTACATTTAGTTCTTCCTTCCATAGTCGTCAGTCTTTTCCACAAGCAGTTATACTTAGCATATTACTCCTTCTTCACCTGCTCCCTACTTTTACAAACTTCGGAAAGGCTTATTTTTTGGTGCAAGCCTTCTCGAACTTCTCCGATAATGTATCTTACCAGCAGTTCATGCCACTAGACTGTGATAAAATCGATCGATAATTCAAGAGGGATGTATGAAAACACTGTCCATTAGCTAATTACGTATATATTTACTTGGTGGATTCACTTTCCTTATCAGGGAAAAATAATATTGTAACAAGATGATGGACGCCTAATCATACTCCAACCTAGGACTGAAATAAGAATAGTTTGAAATCACTTTCCCCTTTATCATCAATACATCATAAGAAAATTAATATTTTCGTACACTTTTCTAACCAATCCCTGATGCACTACCAGTAGAAAGCAGATACAGTTCTTCATCGATCATAAATCCTACGAATATCTTAATCTTTCCATAACTGTATTGAAGAACGAGAAGAATATTGACAGTTATTGGACGCTTGAACATTGAAAAATCAACCTTATTTACTTCCTTTCCTTTAAACTGCATTTTAAACTAGGATCTAAGGCGTAACCTTATACTTAAGGATGACAAATGAAGAAAGAACAGTTTAATTGAGGATAGAGGAGAACAATGGTGGATGAAAGAAGACGCGATCAACTCATCTTCACCTAATTACATCATTATCAGTTAAGAAAGCTGGTTCAAGATGTTTGCAATGAAACTTCTAAGAAGCAAAGAAAATAAGACTACTGTTTGCAACTTATTACCAATTCACGTGACAATCTTATCATTATTTAAAGGAAAAATTGTAGTCAAGTGCAAGTGATATACGTCTGCAGCCAGTCAGCAAAACAGCACGCAGGCATGTTCCTTATTGGTCACTTACTACTGACCAGTTGTTAGTAGTTTGGATACATTAGACACAATATTTAGGACCGTACAACAAAAACAATTCTGCTTTGAAGCCTCGTTTACCAAAGTTGAAATTATCATAATAAATACCGAACTCTGTTTCATCCACAAACATTTGCAAGTGCTTGATTGTAGGAATGAAACCAACTAGATTACATTCACGACAGTTTCCAAGTTCAACACCATGGTTTGGATAGCTTGTGAGTCGTGGACGATAATACATGAACCAAAGCTGAAATAAGGAACAAAAAAGAAATTGCATAAGCTTCAAGACGAGAGAAATTTGTAAGGTATATCTTGCATATTTTAACTTTAGTGTATTCACTATTTCAACGTTTAGTGATTCAAACAACAACGATGCGGAAGCGCTTCGCAGTTTAAACTACTCACGAAATATTTATGATGGGTAGTGGCTAGTAGTAGAATGCAGGAATCACATTTCATCATATTTAGGACTCGTCAGCTGCACGCATCTACATCCCAGTGGGTGATGTTCTTCCCACCGGGATTCCGACTCGGCAGCCATCGCTTCAAACGCCAGACACAGAATTATCCACTAAACCACCGAACTACGATAGCCAATCCTTGTGCCACGGGTATAGTTTTCAATGTTGTTGCTTGTATTATCCCGTTGTTGATTGGACCGAATCGATCTATCTCTATTGGTATATGGGCTCCTACGTGGATGCCTCGATATTGCCTATGTTTCAGTTGTATATTTATGATGGATGATGGCTAGTAGTAGAATCCAGGATGCGCGTTTCGTCCTATTTTTGGGACTCGTCAGCTGGATGTGCCTGCATCCCAGTGAGTGATGTTTTTCCCTCTGGGGCTCGGATTCGGGACCGATGGCCTCAAACACCTGGCTGATGAGTCTCAAATGGGTTCCTGGATTCCACTACTAGCCATCATCCATCATAAATATACAACTGAAACATAGGCAATATCGAGGCATCCACGTAGGAGCCCATATACCAATAGAGATAGATCGATTCGGTCCAATCAACAACGGGATAATACAAGCAACAACATTGAAAACTATACCCGTGGCACAAGGATTGGCTATCGTAGTTCGGTGGTTTAGTGGATAATTCTGTGTCTGGCGTTTGAAGCGATGGCTGCCGAGTCGGAATCCCGGTGGGAAGAACATCACTCACTGGGATGCAGATGCGTGCAGCTGACGAGTCCCAAATATGATGAAATGTGATTCGTGCATTCTACTGCTAGCTACTATCCATCTTTATAATACTTAAATTTGACAGGAAATGCGGTACACGTATTGTTACACCTAAAAATTCAGTGATAGTATCCAGTATATTGGTATACAAACTTTATGCAATGTGAATGACATTAGTGGTCATTATTCCTTTCAAATAGTCTGTAGAATTATTAACTTTAAATCAGTCTCTTCATTTATTATAGTATTTTTAATCTCTAAGCTGATATGATAACATATCGGATACTGGCAGCGCGATGTAAATAAAAGTCTGACTTTCCAACATTGTGAAAGCCTAAGTGAAAACTCTAATCATAAAGTAATTATGAAATTATATATTATTACTATCACTTAGCACTGGAGAACATACCTGAAATATTCGGTCTATTTGTGTATGATGTACCAAGAAGAGAGGATCATTAGCTGCCGTTGGTGAACAACAAAATGTACCACGTACCATATTGTGTAAACGATTATGCATAAATGAATAAGTGGGATTAGAACCGGGAACTGCACATGCTCCTTCAAGATATTGATGAAAACCACGACATTTTCCATAATCCTCTTCAATTTGGGGTAAATAAAAACTTTATGAATAGAAGAGATTAAAACATTCACTTTAGATAAACTGTAAAATAGTTTTATATACTATGCCTATGACTAAATTCTTTTGAGTTAATGAATCCAATAGACTTTTAGCATTGGTTAACAATAATAAGCAGAATCAATTGAATAAAACTAGTTAATAACAATTATTACCACTATGTAATTCAAACGTTCATTGGTTCCAGTTTTGTAACGAATAAAACTTTTGAAATGGTGTAGAATATTTCTACCTCATGTTGATTTTGTTCTGTTCTCTCAACCGGGTGGTTTAATCAAGAAGCTTTGACTGTCTTCTTAGATGACATCATCAACATGAACTTTACTAACTTCAATTCTGAAGATAACCTTATGTCTGGATGTTTTAAAAGTGGAACAAGATTGGTATTTGAGAGCGGTGGCTATAAAGGGCACTCCAATAACTGATGAAACAACCAATCACGTTTATCTATTCCATGAAAAGTTGTTTTCCCAGTCAAAGTACTCCAACTTGATTGGTTATTTTGTTAGTTGTTAGGGTGACCTTTAAAGTAGAGTGAATTTAAAAACCACTCTAGTAGCTATTGGAACAGCTAATCAGGTTTCTGTATTTTGGCTAGGAAGTTGGATTTTCATAAAATAGAGAGCTATAATTGGTTATCTTAACAGTTACTAAGGTGGCCTTTAAAGTCGTCCTTAAAATCAACCTATTTGAAATAGAAAAGATTTTTATCTAATTCGTCTTGAGACAACAATTTGAATAAATAACTTCGATTGTACCCTGATTCATCTTATTCTCTATCATTTTGACATAACACGTTTGAATCATATGATATTTCAAAATTTGAGTCGAAATTTACCTCTAAGGATGATACAAATCGGCAGTGTCATTTGACGCCAATATTGTCTCAACTATCAGGATCACATGTACTCACTCATATGTCACGTTTTTGTGTTTGAAAGTGTAAGGTTTATAGAGGTAAGTCTAACACATTTAGCGATTGACACTAACGTTCATTCTTAAAATTACTGAAATAGCCTATATTTTTTCGATTTTAAGAAGAAATTCGCCTTTGAGATAAAGTAAAGAAACCTAACTGGATTATTTCAGCATTTAATGCGATGGCCTTTAGAGTCATCCGATTGGGTTATATGTTGATTTTTGAACAATTTAGTGTTGTATGCAGCATTTAATATGTAGGAATAAATGCACAAACTTTTAAGTATTGCTAAGATATCGAATACTTTCTGTCATTATCCCTTTCGTAATAATGAATTAACCTATAATTGGGCATTTTGACCTGAGACTATCATATATTTCATGGTAGTATTCGTGACAAACTGACGTCTGTCGGAGAAACATTGAAAACCTGAGAGCACTGGACAGCTGTTTGATCCTAGTATGGGACAACCATCACGCGGTCATGGATGTGCACTGCTGAGGATTTCCTCATTGTGACGAAGTGATTACTCAATGTTTCCAGTTTTTCATTGGTTCTTCAAATGATATCAACTCATAATGAATACTATCTGGTAATAAATAAACATCTCCAATAACCTTGGGCTAATCTATTATATATTGTCAGTGTTTGAACTGAGCGATATTATACATACAGATAAACAGGAAGTGTTTAATTCGATTATTTTTCATGACCTTTTTAAGCGAATTTAAACTAGTGACCAGTGGATTGTTGATCCTTTCTGCTTTTAGCTAAGCTATTGAACTCAGCTGATAGTAGAAATCCTATTCCATTTTGGATCACCAACTTCATTATCCGGCTTAAGTTTAAATGTATCTGTCAATGACTGTTCATTCATTCATTCCATAAAGCCTACGGTGCAAATCTTGTGGTAGTTGACAGCGTCTTACAACTTCATTAGCATATTAACTTCTGGGTCATTATACCTGCAGAAGTAGCAAGGTCGTCCATTTCACTTAGTTTCGAAGAAGACTGACATCGCTTCTAGAAATGCCTTTGAAACAACAACCAGTTAAGCGTTTATCAAAAAATGTAAGCGATACGGTATATAGAGTACAATACAAAAGTTACTCTGTTTCTTTTACACGTCCTACACTGTCCAATCTATTTGATACGAAACTCAGTAAGAAGTAAAAATAATGTTCCACACTGTCTCTGTCTACTTCTTTTCATTTCAAACCAAGAGGGGACAAAAACATTAAGTTACCTGTATCTCTTTACCTTGACATTGTAAGATTTCAGTCATGGTTAAAAACTAATGGAGAAACTTGTGACAAGAGAATGAAACAGTGACTGAACAGAAAACCTGTAAAAACAACTTTTAAGACTTGTGTTATAACTTTTTATTTCTATTTATTGATACGTTTGGAGAGAATTGATCGAAGACTTTTGGTGTATGACTTCCTGGGCGTATACCTCAATATAGCTGGCAATTCCATCTTGAGATTCAGCTGATGAGTTCCAGATAGAATGAAACACACATCTCCGCCTTCACTGCTAACCAGTATTCTTCAGTACTAATAATCTGAAGCTACTTGCTTTGTTGAGACATCTGTAGAGAAGCCCATGTATCAATTCGATTCAAACCAATCAACAATGGGAATTAAGATATTATATCGAACTACACTTATTGGGTAGGAGGTGGGTATCGTAACTCACTAATCTACTGATTAAAGCTCCAGTGTTTAGAGTGGTGACTCTTGAGTCTGATTCTCAGTAGAACAACAACACTTATTGGAAGGCTTTAGATTGGAAATCCAGAAATAGGATGGAAAACGTGTCTCAGCTATCATTAATAGCCACTGTTCATAGATTTATGGACTGTCAGAATCCCTTTGTAGCAGGAAAGTATGTCGAAAGCATTTTACTAGTTTGATCATGACCATCAGTATTCATTCAATCCACTCAGTTAACTGGTAGTACTCTCCTAGTATAGATGTGGCGTACAGAAGATCAGGACCGACAGGATAAGGTGAAGCCAGCGTTTTATAATTTAGTGCTTGATGCTTTCAATGTTTACTATCGAAATGGTCATTTTATTCTGAAGTCTCTGATAGCATCTATCATGGTTATACCCTAGCAGGTTGAATACCTCACTATAGCTTTCGTGGCACCGATAATTCAGTGCATTTGAAACTGACTGTACATTATTCTTCTTTGGAAAAAGAGAATGCAAATGTTTCATTGAATAAGTATAACCAATTAGTGTACGCGTAAAACTTAGTCATTGTGATGGAGTATAATTCCATATTGTTGGTTTACTAGGGCATGCAGAGAAACAGTATTGTTTACTGGATGACATTTCGAGTAGAAATGAACACATCATGAATAATTGGTATAATAGCATTTGTAACTGATCTAAGTCAAAGAAAAAGTTACACAATAGCATAAGAAAAGGAATGTAAGGTACACTTACTCTTTTTTTGAAAGAGCAAATAAAAGATCATCAGTTGTTGGAAAATCTGTTCCTTCATAATATCTAGTGAGTTTTCGGAAATTCGGCCAGCTAGCATGACAACTAAAACATGGACTTCCTTCAACTGGTGGACTACAGTATTCAGGCCAATTATAGAATGGACTGTTTTCGTCGATTAAACGATCCGATCCTACCCATTGACCATAAGCGCCCAACAAACTATTATCACAGACTTCACAAGATTTGGCATCAAACCAATCCCAATAGGGTAATGCAAAATCTGTCCAATCATATAGTCGAACTGCAATTTTACGTAATTGTTTCTCCCAAAACATCATAAAATATCTATGCCAAGTAATAAATCCAACAGTATTATGATTATTATCAATATGCTTACGATTTAAACATTCAAGATCATCACTGAAAAGTGTTGCTCGACTAGCATATCGATGCAGAAAAGTGACTAAATACTGTAGGTTAACATCCAAGAATTTAGGTTTCCATAATGGATCAGAGTGTATAGAATCTTTTTCAAATAATATAAAGTAATCAGTTGTTGCTGTAAGCATTCCTGTAACTACATTAACAAACATTTTTCTTTGTTTTGGAGTCAATGTTAATATATTCTGTCGGACATATTTCTTGCGTTTATCACACAATGGTCCATCCCAGCCATACCAACATTCATCACATGCAATACCGAAGTAATTGCCTTCACATTTACAAAATTGATCAAAAAATCTTGATGGCCAATTCATTCTATCATCTATTATTAAGTAATAGGGTATAGATTGAATTTGAATGTATTCCTTTTGACATGTTCCAATTCCAGGACCACCACATGGGTATGTTGAACCTTTCGGTATTGGACAACAGATACCACTTCCACCGAGTGCTGTAATGTTGGATACACAGGCCTTTGGGATAAGACTCTCCACATATGTTATCATTAAGCATATTACTAGAATAAAGTTATCTATGAAATGTTTAACTCCTTTCATAATATTGACTTTTATTAGATATTAATATTAAATGGAAGGAACAATTTAAAATTTATTTTCAGTGAATACTATTCACACTTGAAATTAACTCATAAAAATGCAGCACAGGAATCGTTTAGCTCAGATGGGATTCAGTAAGTTCAATAAACGAAATCAAATGAATTGACCGAATAATTTATGAGTTTCTTATCATATATCACTGATTATTGATAACAACTCGTAATTTGTGCTGTGCACTTTAATTGTAACATGTTTAGCTTTTAGTATATATCTTTCAAAGTGCTTATAATCATTAAGGAAAATAAAATAACAGTAAATCGATAGCCTGTTAAATGATGCGACAACTACTAATCGCATAAAACGTAGTTATCCATTGAAATTTGTTCATTGTTCAATAGAATACAGCGTAATTGAACATTGAATATATGTGTATGTGTTGAAATTAAAACACTGGAAAGTTGTAATTTCAGCATAGTCAAAGCTTTTCAAGCTAATACCACTATATGGGATAAAGACTTTCTTGAAATCTTGGTAAGATAATGATGCTAAAAAATAAACCTGTTCTACATGCCATTGATGTAAATTAGGAGTGTACAAGATTTTTCCTGTTTAACACATTACCGTGACGTATGGCGTCAACAAATCGGAAGTGAAGCGGATTCTAACAGAAGACCTTCGTTGACAATTGTGTTACATTGCGAACTGACAGAAATAAGAAACTATAGACCATCGAACTCCAACTCCACCTTGAGGCCTGGAGGGTGAGGTTGTGGGTGCGTACTGCTGAGTCTCATACAGGTGTCCAGTACTCCCACGTTTTCAGTGGTTCTCCGAACTATCTCCATTTATGATGAGTGCTATCTATTGTCTATAAAAAGCTTGGATAAAGGGTCACTATCACTGTATTATGTACAGAAATTTAACTTAAGATTTGTAATAATTCATTCTGTGAACTTACACAACATTAATTATATACTATCAGTTATTATTTGTGTTTATTAAACTTATTACTTCCAAGGAGTAAAGAAGGTGACAGTCTTAGGGTCGCACTAGTAGCTACGGAAATAGTTAACTTGATGTATTTCAGTTATGAAGGTGTGTTGCGTTGACATGAGTTCAGTTACTCAGCGGCAACACTGAATGGAGGTAGCGCTATATGGTGAACTGACAGAAGTTGAAAATATGGACCATTGGGTACCAACCCAATGGCTTAATGGTAACGTGATGGCCACGAAACTTGAAGATTCTAGGTCCAACCCAGCAAGGTCGTGGATGACCACTGCTGTGGAATCCCATACTTGTGGTACAAAACACCTGTTCAGTGCTCTCAGGTTTCCAGTGCTCCTCTAGCTGATGTCAGTCCATGATGTATTTCAATCTGAAATCGATTTATAAATCTCCACAAATCTTCAAATTTAATTATTCCAGGATTTGTCAAGATGATCTTCGCCGTCACTAGTGAGGAAGGTTTATTCCTAGCGGGTGATTTCAGATACACCTATTCTTTTACCCAAGTTTATATGATAAAGTATGCACTGATAAATACAATATTATTCATAGAATGACCTTTGGCGTGAAATTTATTGCTAATAATCATATCGACGCAGTCACATAACTTCTGACACCTGTTTCATATAGCTCTAAAGCCATTTAAATGAGCAAAGAATATTCTTTTCAATAACTTCTTCTTCAGGTCCTTTAGTTACATGTACATTTTGAGGAATTATGCGTCATATTTCGATTATCAGTTGGTTAATAATATTATACAGTTATGGAAGTCAACTGAGGAAAGTCGTGTCAGGACGTTTATGATGGAATCAAATGTTACTGGGATTCAGCTCAGAATAATTCATGATCTGAACGACTGTACGGCTTATGTAATACTATGAGGTGGTAGTTTACTGAAACAGTAGAAAGATTTTTATGAGAGCTGGATGAAGTAAACTAAGAAAGATAATTTGAGAAGTAGTGGATTTGTAGTGTGTTACTCATGCTGGGAGACAAAATAAGCCAAGAGAATTTGTTAGAATCATTTCAGATCATAGAGATAAAGCGATACCTATAGTATGAAGTTGGAAAATTAGGTTACCTTGAATAGGATGCTAGGGAATTTACGCGTTCCCAATTGGGCCACTGTAGTTGTAGCGGTAACACTTACTTTTTTTGAAAATATAACTCAGGTTGTTTGATTCTGATTCCTACTGCTTGCACAGTGTGAAGGATTTGAAACTGGGTACCATGTGGTAAGTTGGTAGAAACCCAGAAGAGAATAGAAAACGATTTATCTGTATCCACTTTATGGTTCTTTCGAACGGAGTAGGCTAATATATAGCTGGTTATGGTCTTTATCATACCTTTTACTTAACAACGCTGGGAGGTATTCATGAACACGGAAAATTAAATTCATAGACCAGCGGCCGACGTAAATGACTCTAAAGGAACAGTCAAACTGATAAACATAACAGAACATGGCCAATCTAAGCAGTTAGTCTTTCATGCTCAGTGTCACTATTAGGCGTGTGGAAAACGTTATTTGTAATTTACTCACATCGAATTAATATCTCGCTAAGCACGTCACCTCTTAATTACACCAGAATGCATAATAGTTTTCGGCTGGTCGTTGGAATATCCTTCATTACTATTCTTGTCATGATATGTTTCTTTATGAATTTATCAAGATAGATATTTTCGATTAGTGTTTTGCACGGAGTCATTAGTTCCCCCTCACTTGTATCTTTCGAACACAGCCTTTATTCTGTAAATTTATTACTAAATTTCATTTATACTGAAGGAGGACGAAGCCGAGAAAATGTATGTATTGTCCTGTCAATGTACTTGCCCTAAAGAAATTCCTCTTTATCGTCCGATCTGTTCTTCTAGAGAGTAGAACGTCAGAAGAAGCTATTTAGCCTTCTGACTCCTCCTCATGGTTTGGTGCACTGCATTTAATCTACTTATTCTCTTTGACCTGTCCATGTTGTTATTGCACAGGATGAACGTATCATACATATGTCAACAGTAAAGTGAAAATTCTCTGATAGATCGCCCAAACAAACCATTCCGCGCTTTCGATAGGAAAAGGTCCTCTATTACGGGATTCAGTGGTGAGCCTATTACGACTGCATCCACTTGTCTGGATAGTTCAGCATTAAATTTACAGTTGACATTTATCTTTCATTTTGGCAATAATTCTTCGAGGACTTCTACCAGGATTCCAACATGCATAAACTTTTCTTTAATGTAAAGGAAAAACATAGGGACTGCGGTAGAGTATAACTTCATATTAGATTGTTTATTTGATATAGCATAATCGTAAAGCCTAAATACGGAAATGAATTACACCAAAGAGACGCTACTTCTTAATAACTACCCACTGGAATTCATTAAAATGTTAATAAGGACTGATGAGAGAAAGAGAGGTAATGTCAGTTGTGATTGCAATATGTCTAAGAGAGAATTCAAATCCTTTGTTGTGTTGCCGTATAAAGAAAGTATATCGAGAATTTTAAGTAGAATTCTTAACAATGCTGGGATTAGGGTAGCATTCAAACCCAAAAACTAGCTCAGAGAGAAACTTTGTAGACTAAAAGATTCTATAGAGCCAGTTAAGAAAAACAACTTAATCTATCAAATACCATGTAATGATTGTGAGGTCAATTATATGCGTCAAAGCAGTCGATCTAGGCTAGTCACAATAGTAGAACACAAAAATTTATCGAGATATACAATGGTAGACCCTACTAAGATAAGTAATTTGGAGGGGAACTTGGCTGTCGCTCTGCATGCACTGACCCATAATCATACTCTGGGGTGGGATAGGGTGAAAATGCTAAAACCCAATATATAGCTAGGTGAAGGCAGAGATTGATCACCTTATCTTTTTGTTCACTGAATCCACACCTAACACAATATACAACAGAAATGCATCATCACGTACTGCAGATATATGGAAGATCCTTATTATTGTTATGTTATTTGTCCGTCAGGTTCCTAGTGGAACATAAGGCTTCAGTAGCATGTCACTAGTTCATACTCTTCCTTGAAGTCTTCTCAACCTGGCTCCATCACTGCCCACAAGCTTTCACTTCTTCTTCTTCACATGATCCCCTCCATGTCACCCTCGGTCTCCCAACTTGTCGTTTCTCATTTGGCTTCTACTCGAGGGCTTGGCCTGACCAGGCGCGTGATGTCCCCAAACCGTCTTCTTCCACAATGTATGTCTAATCCAATCCATCTCCACTTTCTCCTGCATATTTGTTGACTGACATTAGTGTTGAAAATCCGGATGTTGTTCACGCTTTATGCTGAGGGCAGTGTAGAGCAGTGGAGTAGATCTCCACACCGGGGTCAGATTGATGAAGGAAGGCCAATTTTGCTGTCTTTTTGATCTTGGCTTTGACATCATCGTCTATACCCCCACCTATGATTGAGAGAATGCTGCCAAGGTGGTAGGTGAGATAGACAACTTCTTTTCGATTTCTCCAGTTGATGGCGATTGGTGCTTGTTGTTGTTGGTGGTGGTGGTTGGGTATCTTCATCACCTCCGTCTTCTCTACGTTCACCTGTAGTCCCGTTTTCACTGCCTCTTCTGCCAAGTTGTTAGTTTTCGTCTCTACATCTTCGACTTTGTTCCAGAAGACATTAGACATAAATCATCATCGTTGGCGAAATGCAAATCTTCTGGGGTGTTTTCATCGTTTCAGCCGGCATATGCCCATCTTCTCACTTCTCACAGTTGTCGGTTGCATGATCCAGTCTAGTCAAACACAATCAGGAAGATTGGAAAGTCTTGCTTGCTTTAAAATAAATGAACTGTTGAACCATATAAGTGAAGTGCGAAAGTCACATGATTACTTTGATATGAATATGAGTAGTGAATTCTGCTAGAAAGGTCATTGTGTACTACATCAAATGAACAATCCAACAGACTTTTATTTTAAATGTTCATGTATAAAGTTGACCGTCACAACAAGAGGAACATTGGTGAATCAAGATGATAT